GGGGGGGGGGGTGAAAGACGTTTCTGCTTCCGTATATCTCTCCTTCGTTTGTTTGATCGACGACTGTTCGGCTCAAGTCAACCGGTCGCATTCAAGTATAATGGTCGTAAAATGTCATCCCCTTTGCTATTCTCGATGGTATAAAACGTGATTGGTTCACGGGATTGGATGAAAAACGTCCTCTTTGGTGTAAAAATAATGTGAAATTCTTAATGATATGCCTCAGAGCTTGTTCAGAACCATTGTAAATGAGATCTTGGACGGATCAATGAAACGTTTCACCAAATGGTGCACGTACTCTCTGTGTGAATGGTTGAATTCGCAGCGGTAAATGAACAGATCCAGATAACACAGTGTGTATATGTGTGATGCGTTCTACCTGTTTGTACAATTCATCAATCATAGTTTCCACGAAGTCCTGTCAAGCTATGAAACAACCATATACTTATACCTTAATATGCCAAGGCATTTGGGGATCGGCCTTCATTTCTGCTCTGTCCCCAAAACTCAAGACATCAGAGATTCCGTTATTCAGTAAATCGCGTTACGACGCTGCGGAAATCCGATTGTCAAACATTTCTAGTCACCCGAGCTTTTCTTGGACTGTTTCATACTCATCCAGGTGTTGTAAGATACTACTCACATTTGTGAGTAGCACGCAGGAGGATGCGGTTAGCGGTTTGTTTCAACGGTCAAAAGTGAGCAAAACCTCTTGAAGCGAATTGTTGTGTTCGAAATGATAACCACGGTCTGTTCCATTCATTATCCTGTGTGTTGCCGGGACTTGTGGTGACATGTTCCGAATGAGATATCTCGTTATATGTACGTCAAGTTATTCATCTCCTAACTATGGTTCGCAATAAATGAAGCTCCTCAAGCCAGCACCGATCTTCTGGAATTATAACACAGGTACTTCACTTGAACTTCAATCCGTTCGACCAAATATAGATGCCCTTGGTACGCTAGCACTTGTTTGTATTACTCTTCAACCTGTTCAATAATATATTATTTGGTGATCAGCTGTCGCTTGCGTTGTTCCCAAGTGGTTTCAGATTACGGAAGCACACTACGGTTAGAAGCAGTGTTACTGCATAACCCCGGTTATGGAATGTGCCTTCTTCCTTGCGGTTCACGCTTTGGCTAGCCAAAGGCTTCAATAGTGATTTCCCTTTGAATAATTCACTTGGCTTTGGCGGTATTGCGGTCACAAAGAAATGCTTGGCTATTTCTCACTCGTGAATGATTCATGTATCATGATTTTCTTGGCACATGGTTTGAAAGTTCCCAATAATAGTAGCAACGCTGCAGGTTTTTATTTCTAACAAAACGTTCATTTATGTGCGGGAGTTTAGTGGTTAAAAATTTAGACAAGGTCTGTTTTCTTTGAGCCACTTTTACACAATTCTCCGTGTTCTTCGACCGAGATGGATAGATCAACTGATAAAAGATTCCATCTACCAGCCATGATGAGTGATCGTGGTTGCGGAATTTTTTTCGAGTCTCTGGGAGAACTCCTGTCCACGGTAGGGGAGAAATACCGCCCACTTCAAGCGATTACCCATGTCAAATTCTATTCGCCTCATAGGGTTCACTGGACACGTGGGAAAAAAGAAACTACCAGATGTATGGAATCTTCAGTTACATTCAATGCTAACCATCTCGCAGTGTTTGACCAGAAACTTCCATTAAAAGCAGCTGTATTCTCGCATCACAGTTACGAAAGCAGCATCACAGGAATAAAGAGCGGAGGTCGAATTCACAGGCAAGGTGTTCCCCCATTCATTGTAACACATTCAGAGACGGCGGGCGTTTGAAAGAGTTGGGCCAACAAACTATAAATTGACATTTTTGCTATCAGTATTACTTTAATGCCATAAGGCGATGCCGAGACGAGGAAGATCGTTTATTACGAATCACTGTTGGGATCTCAGTAAATTTGAAACAAGTCTTCAGAATTCCCACAAGCGCACAGGATAAATAACGGAACGGTTCGATGGTAGATGCGCATTTTCCGTAGTTACCATTTTGAGCACACTAATTCGCTCTAGAACGTATTATTCATTTTTGACCGTTGGACGAAACCGCTAATCACATTCTTTTGCGCAATCCAACCATACTTCTCATAACAGTAGTAGTGTGCTCCGCTTTCAATGTTGATGACGCGAGCAGTATGTGGCATTGGTGTAACTGTAATGCTCTGACTCGTGCAGGGTTTCATTTTCTGACGGACGAGGGACATGATCGTTGTGGATTGGAATTAAACGTTTCATAAACGATGCTGGTTGATTCTTTTGGCAAGGTTTCTCCCTCCCTCCAGTCATCTGATCGCGACCGTTTTCTCATCAGCTGTGGTAGCATTTTGATCACGCCGGTTCAGATTGAAGTGGAATTAGTTTAGATGTGACCAAATCAATTGCATATCATNTATCATAACTTGGACGAACCTCTTGATAGTCAAACCAACCCTCACGCTCTCTTCCTCTTGCTGGACGCGTCCTCTCAATGTTTACTCGTGGACCTGAATATAATGTTCATTTGTAACTCCTGCACACGAGAAATGGACAAATGCAACATAAATCATTCAAGCGATAGAAAGAAAGTATTCCGTTTTTTCCTGTCCATATTGTATGTTTGTATGATCAACTCGGTTTCAGCAAACGTCGCTACTTTCGAGATTAGTTCACACATCATGAATTCGTTTCTGATGCTGAAATCTGCTTTTCCCCGTACTTCGTCAATCAATAAACCAGTCCTCACTTTGTTCCCTCCCTCTTCTCCATCTCAGTTATCTTCAACTTTTGCAGTTACCCGATACACTATTGTACCTGTGGTATATTATTGGTGCCTCATGCAATTTGCCATTCCAAGCTCTACTGCTCACCCCGTCGGTTCGCATAACCGAACTTTCATCATGATATTCAATCCCTCTTTTCGCTGTTCTCCACACTACGAGGTAATCAAAATAGAAACTTTTTTTCAAAGATTGTAAGGTGGGTATTTTGGTTTCCCTCTTCCATCCCTCCGCTTCACTCACCTGGGAAATTTCACCAGTTTGTAGAAGCATTGCTCCAATACACGCTCGTTTAGTTTGAT